ACTGTATCAATTTACCAAGCAAAATTAATATCTTAAGGTAAAATGTTAATTTTAATCCATCAACTTTAGAGTTTTATATAGTTTTCATTGCTTAATTATTTTAAATGCCTTTTTTTGCTGATCAACTCTAGAAAATGCATTGTTTTCATCTTTGTCAATTAATATATTAAATCTATTCATATATGCACTTTTTTAGTTTATAAATTTAAAAATTAAAAATATATATTATAAGTTTAAAAATTAAAAATATACATATTTAGACATATTTAATAAATTGACTAATAGAATGCCAAAAAATGTATATTTTTTTAAAATCAAGAGATAAAAAAGTGTAAAAAAAATTGAGAGATGAAATTTATATAAAATTCTAAAATTGAAGAAATAAAATTGACATTTAACCATATCTTAATCGATCAACTTCTTAAAATCACCATTTAATGGACTAGGGTTCTATGTTCTATTGTCTTGATTCTTAATTACTCTCCCTTCTTTGGGTCATTCTAACGTTCACCCACCCACAAAAAGGAAAAAAAGGAAAAAGAAAAAGAAAAAGAAAAAATATATATATACATATAGCATCAATCTCAAAAAAAAAAAAACATGGAAAAATGAAAGTTGGAGAGGGGAATTAGCCAAAGAGAAATTCGAATCACAGCTTGCACTTGGATTATGATTGATTCTAAGCATAATTTTATTAAAAAATAAAAAATAAAAATGGAAGGTAGAGAAGACAAATGGAAGGACGATATTATATTGCACCCTTGAGGTCACATAGAATGCACATTAGCACGCCTTTTAGCCAAATGGTCAAATCAGAAACCAACGGGTGGGCTTGTGATCGCAAAGTGGTTCAACAAGGTGTGACCATAGAAAATAATCATATATTTTTAACGAAAATAAATAAATAAAATAGAATGGTCTATTCCGATCCAGGGGCATTTGACCATAATTAGGATTGTTTACCTCTGTGAGTGGCGTATTAGAGTCCTATAGAACTCATTTCCTCCCTCCTCATATATACCTGTAAATAATGTTAAAATTGTTCAAAAAATAAAAATAAAAATAAAATAAAATAAAATTTGAGAGGTGTTATAGAAATAATTTTTTATCTTACATTTTGATATAATTTTTATATTTTATTAAATAAATAGATACATTTAATATCATAAGATTTTTTTATAAATTAAAAAAATTAATTATTTAAATAACACATCAAATTATATCAAAATATAATATAAAAAAAAGAGTTAGTGCTTATCCACCTTATCTCTCAAAAATTAAGAGAAAAAAAGACAAAAATCACTTTAATGCATGTCTTAAAAATATGATAGTTTAGTTTTTTTCAATAAAAAAGTTATTGAAATGATGTAGTTTTAAGATAATTTTTTTCTTAATCTTTAAAAGATAAGGCTGATATGAATTTTTCTTATAAAAAAATTATTTCAAAATCATTCTTTAATAAAATAAATGTAAAAAAAAAATAAAAGGGAATCAAATAAGTGGATTAAGCGCATTTTTAACAGAAAAAGTGGGCCCACATAGTGGCAGGCTCATGGGCTTAAAGTCTTTTTATTTAAGTCTATAACTGAATATATAATATATAATAAAAAAAAGGGATTGTCGGTGAATCCATAGACTTTTGGTAGACTGCGAAGCAAAGCTAAGCCTAAGCCCAGCACAACAGGACATTACACCGAACCTCGTCCTACACCCAAATCTTATCTATTCGATTTCTCTAGTACCTTCTTCTCCTCCTCCTCGATAAAAGCTCCGGTTCGTCCTCCGAGAGATTTGGTAGAAGTCGGCGAGATTTGTTTTAATTTTGGTTAAAGGAGATGGACGGCGGAATGGAGGCGCAGTATACACGGAGTCATCACACGCACGAGATCAGAGAAAACCAGTGCACTTCTGTTCTGGTCAAGCACATCAAAGCTCCTGTTCATCTGGTAAGATCTTCGCTCTTCTCCGATCGGCTGCAGCTCTTTGGATTCGTGCGGGTCTGACTTTGTAGTTTCTTCTTCGATCTGATCGTTTCTGTTTTTGGAGATTCTGATGGATATATTTTGGGAATGAAATTGTTATTATTTTTTGTTTTTGGCAATTGTTTTGGAGCTTCGATGATTCAGATAAAGCAATCGTTAATGGAAATTGAGAGATCGAGTTTTGTGTTGCTTTTCGAACTCAAGTGATTGTTAATTTTTCTTATGGTGGAAATTTTGTTGAAACTGATGATCGTCAGGTATGGTCGCTGGTGAGGCGATTTGATCAGCCGCAGAAGTACAAGCCATTTGTAAGCAGGTGCATAATGAAAGGGGACCTGGGGATCGGGAGTGTTAGAGAAGTGGACGTTAAATCTGGTCTTCCCGCCACCACTAGTACTGAGAGATTGGAACTTCTTAATGACGAAGAGCACATTCTGGGCATCAAGATCGTTGGCGGTGATCACAGACTGAGGGTAAGTATGAACAAGAAACTCTTGATTATATCTTTTTCTTTAGAAGCTTTGGATTAGCTATTTCCCTCTGGAGAAGTAAAATACTTACTATTCAACAATTGAGTTGGGGACTGCGGATTGTGGATGCTTTTTTTATGATTTTGAGGAACATGATCAACTTCAACCCTGTTTGTTACCAGTTTGTGGGTGATCATATTGTTGGTTGATTTTGCAGAACTACTCTTCCATCATTACTGTTCACCCTGAAATTATTGACGGAAGGCCAGGGACAATGGTGATCGAATCATTTGTGGTGGATGTGCCTGACGGGAATACTACAGATGAAACATGTTACTTTGTTAAGGCTCTAATCCAATGCAACCTCAAATCTCTAGCTGATGTCTCGGAAAGAATGGCTGTGCAAGACCAGACGGAACCCATCAACAGATACTAAAGTGCCAGGACTCTCAAATAAGTTTAATGAGCAAGTCTTTCCTTTGAAGACTGTAGAAGCCTTGTAGAGAATGATAAAGAGGGGTGCTTCCTTGTTCGGAACTAGTCTAAGATACAATTTTGGGCTGTGCCCTTGCCTTCTTATGGAGATCTTTCCACTGTTTCTGCTTCTCGCATGTTTGTCTAATCCCTCAGTAGTTATCCTGGGGTTCCAACCTCCCAACTCCAATTCATTATAAACATCCTCATTTTCCTGTTCTATAATGAATTCCCATGAAGTTAAAAAGTTCAGATCTTTCTGTTTCTACTGGGTTTTGTACATTGTGGGTTTGTGCATTAGGTCATTCTAGCTCATCTGTAAATATTTTTGTAAGAAAGATGGATATTTTGCTTTCCATATTGTAATATGCAGCTGTAGGTGGAGGATGGATTTGGAGTTATGGAGACTGAAACCTTCTGAAGTTGTAGCAGTATATCTTCATTAATTCACTGTTGTTGTTGGCCTCTCTCTTCTATTTCTGCATGTTGGAATGATAGACATCTATGGAGTTGCCTTTCAGCGTTTTCATGTTCAGGCACCAAAAATTTCGGTTGCAGAAAGTACCAGAAGAAATGGGAAAGCACTCGCTGCTCAGTGCTCACATCTGACTCATTAATTCACTTTAGAGATTGTGATGCATTATTAACTCTGTTGATGACTCAGATTCTCATTACTTGGCATTGGCAACATCGTATATATTTTTTAAACTCTCCAATTGGCTGGACTTAAAATATCTACATTACCAGCAGTCCATGCAGGAACATTTCCCTTCTCTAAAATGGTGAAACCGAGCACCGTCTCTCAGGATGATCTCTCGGTTTCTTATCAAAGACACACATTTTGCGGCGGTATGACAGTCGGGGCATATTCTTGTGTTACTGACCACCCTAATTGGTGCGTTGCCTTTCAACTTGATCAGTCCGTAAGTAACTGCCAACTTCTCTGTGTGGCTGAATAGCACCTTCTCCTTCTCTGCCTCATCAATGTCCTGAAACACGCAGTCGACATCGGGCCTGTATCCAAGCTTCTTCATCTCAGAAACTAACTGATACAGCTCGAAATATATCTCCCATTCATCCGGATGGTTCTCTTCTGCAGAGAACAGATGAACTGTTTGATCAATCTGAATCCAGCTCCAGATGGGGCTGTTTTTAACCCCCTTTTCAATCATCACATTTTTGAGACGTTCGACATCTTCCCATCTGCCATACATGGAATATAAGTTCATCATCAGAACATAACTGGCTGAATTATGCGGTTCTAACTCATAAAGCTTCTTTGCAGCAATCTCTGCATATTCAATATTCTTATAGTTCCTGCTGGCTGTAAGAAGTGCACCCCAAATGCTAGCATCAGGGCTGAATGGCATTGTCAGAATGAAATCCCAAGCTTCGTCAAGATATCCAGCCCTTCCAAGAAGATCTACCATGCAAGAGTAATGTTCAATTGTAGGCGCTACTTCATATACAGTGCTCATACAATCAAAATATTTCCATCCTTCACTGACCAGACCTGAATTCTTGCAACCGGATAACAGAGCTGTGAAACTTATGGCATCTGGTAGGATGCCTGATCCAAGCATCTCATCAAACAGCAGAATAACTTCCTTACCAAGGCCATAAATTGCATACCCCATCATCATGCAATTCCAAGAAGCTAATGTTTTGTTATGAATTGTCCTGAAAACCTTATGAGCAGTCTTCAAATTGCCAGATTTACAATACATGTCAATAACTGCTGTAGCTGCATACCTATCTTGGGTGAAACCATTTCTTATGCAGTGGCAATGAACCTCCTTCCCCTTCTGTAAAAGAGACAGTCCTCCACAGGTCCGAAGTAAGCTGGATATTGTGGCAGAGTTAGGCTTTATACCTTCCTGTTGCATTTGGATGAAGAACTCAAGGGACTCTCTATAATTTCCATTCTGTGAACTGCCTGATAGCAGAGCAGTCCAAGACACCACATCAGGAGTCATTCCAGAATCTTTCATTTGTCTAATCAAGGCTAAAGCTTCATCACTCTGGCCGCAAATGGAATACCCAGAAATCAGAACATTCGAAGTCACCAAGTCAGGTTTTATTCCTTCTTCTTCCATCCTGTTCAATAGTATTTTAGCATCCTGAAAAAGGCCCTTGAATGAATATCCTGATATTAAGCAATTCCAAGTAACAATGTTCCTGTTATTCATGTTATCAAAAACTGCCCGAGCACTTGTTAAGCAATCATTCTTCACGTACATGTCTATCAATGAAGTGCCTACATATGCATCAAAATCAAGCCCATTTCTTATAACATAGCCGTGAATTTCTTTCCCAAAATTAAAGAGCCCCTCCAGTTCATTGACAGCTTGAAGAACACTGGTCACAGAGATTGCATTTGGCCTGAAACCCGTTGTCTGCATTCTCTGCAAAATCATAAGGACCTCATTCCATGACCCATGAAGTGCATGGCCAGACAATAGGCAGTTCCAGGTTACTATATCTGGATTTGTATCAGATGATTCCATTGCATTAAAAATATCCCAGGCATAATCCAAATAACCCTGTGTAGCATAACTTGAAATCATAGAATTCCATGAAGACAAGTTACGATCTTCCATCAAATCAAAAACTCTCTTAGCAAGTTCTAGTCTACCATTCCTCGAGTACATGTTAATCAAAGAATTGCATATCAATAGATCTGATTCCATTCCAAATTTTAAAACATACCCATGAATTTGCTTTCCATCCTCTAGAACTCCTACTTTGCCACAGGCTTGAAGCATCTTTACAATTGTAGAATTATTGGCGCTGGCAGAAGAAAACTGCATTTCTATAAAGAGCTCCCTAGCCTTGTCAAATCTCCCATTTCTCAAGTTTAACACGATTGCCTCATTCCACAAGAGATCCTCTTTATCCACCATTTCATCGAACACTTGATTAGCACTGTCGACGCCCCAAATTCTGCCATAAAAATTCATTAAAGCACACCTCAAATGCATGTCCGAATCAAAACCCTTCTTGATCAGACCGGCATGAATCTCCAACCCCAGCCATAATTCCGCTAAACAAGTGCACATTTTCAAAACCATAGTCGGAACTCTACTGTCAAACAACATTCCTTTGCTATGCAGCTCACGGAAAACCTCAAGAACTTGATTTGCATCCCCACCACTACTCTTCAATTCTTCCAGAAAAGAACTCCAAAAAACATAATTTCGAGCAAAACCCACGAAGAAAACCTCAGTAGCAGATCTAAAATCGCCAGATTTCAAGTAAGATGAGATCAAACTCTTTGCTATAGAATCTGAACTACAATTCCTGCTCATTTTTATCAAACTGCCATGCACTGCTTTCACCAATTCCAAACTCTTGACCTCATTTAACTCAACCAAAAAGCAGAATCCTGGGGACGAGCGGCTTGACCCAGAAGCTGGAAGAGGAGTACTGATTCTGGCTTCAAGTGATGCGTAAGTGGCACCATGAGCAACAGATTGAGAAGGTGAGATTTTTGTGGGTTTTGCGTTGAGGGGTAGTGGGTTTTGATGAAGAGACGGATTGAAGCAGTGGCGCAGCGGAGCTATTGAGTCCATGGAGGTTTCTGGCGGCAAGGAGAGGAAGTGAAGGTAGTTGCGGTGTGAAGAAAATGGCAGTTGATGGAACATTTCTGGGTTTTGATTTCCATTTTCTGTGCTGCGGCGGCGAAATTAAAAAAGAGAAAAGATATTGGGTTCTCGATTTTCCGGATAAGATTTTTTATCCATCCCGATTAGGTTGCTTCTCATGTCGTTTTATCTGACAAACTCCGACTTTTCCTGCCGTTTTGGGCTCGAAATCTTTTTGTTGGAAAATTTGATTTTCAGCTTTGCAACTTTCAATTTCTTACTAAGAAGTCCTCAACTTAGTTTTTTACCCATTTAAGTCCCTGAACCCCTCCAACTTTCATCTTTCAACCTGTTAAGCTCTTTAGGGCAGATTCGCAACATTCAATAGAGGCACCATTAATTGCTTCGTGGGGGAAAAAACAACACCAAGCTAAAACAACAAGAATACAGTGATGATCTTTATCCGATGCGTGCGGCTAGATTGTATGTTGTGTTTAAAGTTTAAAGGGAGAAGAACAAAAATGGAACAAGAAAAGCAAAATCAATGGAGCAAGTTTTTGGAAAATCATGATAACTTTCTTCACTCTCCCTAAAGAAGGCTTCCACCTATAGTTTGATTTGGGTGGAAGCCTCAAGGGAGAGTGGAGAATAGTTGCCAATGTGAAGTCAGACTGTACTAAGTATTAGAACAAGGACCAGTTTGTTAACAACCCCATCAAGAGCCCCCAGCTACCTCCCTCCTCCCTAGGTTGCTGATGGCTGCAATAAAAGATCAAGCCTGGTATAAGTGAGAAAGTTGGAAGCCCCTGAGGGGGAGTGAACAACCATTGCCATGTAGAAAGACTAAGGCAACTCTTAGAGTAAACACAGAAAGATTCACTTGAGAAAGGAGAAAGAGCTAGTCACCCTTTTATAGCCAAAGATGCATGTACACATTATGTGTGCGCATTTGTTTTGTGTTGTGTTATGTTGGTCTCTGTGTGTGTGCACGCACATGTATGTGTTAAGGGGAGGGGGGGGAGGGGGGAGGGGGGGGGTGTGGGGTGTGCGTGTGTGTGTGTGTGAGAGAGAGAGAACAGAACTGAACAAAGAATAAACCAGATCATTCTGATTCTCCCATATCAAATGGGCACGGAATTAAACTTGAAGAACTATAGCATGTCAACATAACTAAACAAAGAATAAAGCAGTTTCAACTTTCCAAATTTCCATATCCAAAAGAACATATCAGATCTTGGAAAATAAAATCTACATACAACTTGGAAAGTTGGATATGGAAATTTTCAACATATCTAAAGTTCTAAACCATATGCACGGTCTCATCAAGTCTACACAAGGCCAATTCCAAATATCCATATCCAAAGCAACATATCAGAACTTGGAAAATTAAATCTCTATCTCAATCCATATCTTAAACAAATCATCAAAATTTTATATCAATTTGTCAACCAAGATTCCCAGGCATCTCAATAGCACACCGAAACATTAACTTTATTTGATATCTTTTTTCTCTACCATGCTCCATAAACCTTTTCTCTCATTATACATTTCTTAAAGTCAATCTTTTGCCACATGCTATAACCAACTTACACTTACTGCACTATATACCTCACCCTTAACTCTAGGCTTCCACTAGAAAGAAGTCAGGGTGCTGCAAGAGAAGTCCTGGAGCTGTACAAGTTGCCACATCTCCCCTCTTGGCTTCCCTAAAAATTAAATGAAATCTAGAGAAATGTAAAGGGTCTAGGAATTTTTACTTTAGAACAAATGACCTGCTAAAGCAATATGAAAACCATCATTGATTTTAATCAACAGGTGAGGTCTTTTTTCTGTTCATTTTAGATCCTCAAAAGGATTTAATCATGTACAAAGCCTTTCATGACCCAGGCAACCACATAGTGAAAAAAAAAAAACGTAATTGGCACCTATATCATAGTGAGTTACAATTTAACCAAACAATCCAAAGAAGATGTTTTGTTTTGAGCACTGCAAAAGCATTAATTTTCATTATATGAACAGAAGGCATCAACTGTTTTTCACATCCTGAAAGAAAAATCTACAAGATGCATAAATAAATACAAAGTGTTCCTCTGTTGCAATTTGATAATATGATGCATGGTTGCATATAAAGGAGAAAACTGCACACTTACTACTAAGCTTTATCGAATACGTTTGAGAACCTGTGGATTCTATATCTAGAGAAAATCCTTTGAACTGATGCAAATGTCAACAACCTTTCAGGACCACAGTCTGGTGTTCAATTCATAGCAAATTTTTTCATCTGTTCTACCAGCGTTCTCTTGGTCGACCATCAGGAAAGACGGGAACAAGCACCTTCTCTTCCTTTTCTGCAGACTTATCTAGTTGTTTAATGGATTTGGTCACTCCAATCTTCACAGGTTCATCATCATTGACATAATCATCATCATTGAAATCTGGAGGTGTATCATAATCTTCATCATTCCAATCATCTTCATCCCCATCATCGTCAGACCACCCGCCATCAGTCATATAACTGTCAATGTCAGACCCTTCTCCTTCCTCATCATGTCCCTCCTCTTTGTCATTTATTTCTTCTTTCTCATCAGCATCAATCTTGGGAGAACCCCTCCTAGGGAATCTAGGAATAGCAACAAGAGAACGAAACTTCTCTTTAATAAGCAACAATGGATCCTTATCTATCAACTGAGAATCACGATATGCTTCCCTAAGGAAAACTGAATCTCGATCCCCTTTCAAAGACACATAAAACATGTCAGGGTGCCTTATCAACATCCCTCTCAACTGCTGAGAAAATCTGAACTCCTCTCGAAAATGAGTGAGGTGATCAACCAGCGTCCTCTTCTCAACCGTGAGGCTCAAAATCTCATGGACAACCCCACAAGCATGTTTTTCCTTCTCTGGAGTACCTGACCTCAATCCTGAAAAATCTGAGTAAGAGGATATGTAAGGCATGTCTCTAAACTGACAAATCCTTCTCATTTCACCCTTGGAAAGAATAAGACCCTTAGGCAGCTTTACTCTATTGAACTTCAGTGGCCTATCTATAATCAAATTCTTCTCCTCCAACTCTCTAGTTCGATTTTCTTCTTCAGCTAACTCTGCTGCTGATACTGCAAGCTCAGGATCCCAATGAGTTAATTCTAAAGCAGGACCACGTTCAGTAGCGACAACACGAAAATATTGAGGGTATCTATGGCAAATAGTTTCCCGGAACTCTAAAGGAAGCCCAAGATCAGTCCTCAAATGGGCAATCTTCTCCAACAGAATCCGCTTCTCTAAGGACATCATCAACAGCTTCCTCAACTTAACAACCAACAGGTCTTCCATTTGATTCTTAACTTTCATCTCCTCCAAGTAAAGCTTTTCAGCTTCAGGTGTCAACTTAAATCTCAACAAAAACGCCCCTTCTTCAATAATTTCAAAAACGCCAGGAAACTTCCTCAACAAAGCAATAAATCTACGGTTCTTTTTGAGCCCCAGGTCTCTCCTAAACTTACCCAATGACCTAATGGACATAATTCTATTCGGATGACTCACTAGAATCTTCCTTATCCCCAACACCAATTTGAGCTTTTTGTCCCTTTGAATCACATTATCAAAAGGAAGCTCTTTCCTTCTCTTCACAGCTGCTCTTACCGGCTCAAATGGAACACGAGTCTTTCTTAAAGTAACCGAAGAAGCAGCATCCTTCTCACGTAAAACCAAACTTTTGCCTAAAAATGGCGTCTTCTCTGCAAACTTTGTTCTCAGGCAGAGATGGGTTTTCACAGAAAGTTTAGGTTTTTCAAGAAATGGAGACTTGTAAGAGAGAAAGAAGGGAAAAGAAGCAGATAGTGAAGCTTTGGGTGAAGAAAGCAAAAGTCTGGGTTCCATATTCAATAGATACAGAAACAAAACAAGAAACGAAGAAGAGAAAGAAAAGTTACCTTCTTTTCTTGCCCCCAGTAGGGTGCAAGCTGGTAATGGCCACTTGAGATTGAATTGAATCCTAATGTGAAGTAGGGTTTATGCGCAAAACCCCTTCAGGTTCAGGCTTCCCACAGATTTTTCTCGGTGACGTCTTTTTGGTTATTTGTTTTCTTCTTAATATCTTCCCCATCTCCGGGGCTTAAAAATGTAACATCAGAACGGTAAAATTGTCATATGGAAAAATACTAAACGCTATCGTTTTGTCAATCTCACCGTTTGGTTTGTGCGTTTTCCTCCTCCTCCTCCTCCTCCTCCTCCAAAGCTCCGCCGGAAGGCGCGGAACTCAGAAGAAACAGAAATGGCGAGGCGGCGGGACGCGCGAGTCAGGCCGAATCAGTACCGGGGCTCAGACGGAGTTGAGAAGCCAACTCAAAAACACGAGCTCGACGAC